TTAGAGATCTGGCAACTTTTAGACCCCTGGGAACAACCAACCATCTTGTCCTGACTGGATCTAACACAACAAAAACCCAGACCTCCTGGAGTGCCTGACTGCATGTACCAAAGGGGCCCGACTGCTGCTGACACTGGAACTGTGACCATTACACTGTACAGCCCAGCCACTTACTGGCTTCTCAAAGGCCTGAACTGGACACTGACCATATGGCCCTCCCCGACATCATGGAGTTCAGAAATTGAGGCCCAACCAGATCGAGAACAAGACCCTCCAGTGTGCCCAACGCCGTGACCAATGCCCAAGACCCCATCGGGCATGGAATGGCAGATTATCCACACCAATCTCCAGGTCCAACCAGAGGCAGCCACTTACCCAGGAAACATGGCCTTCAGGTGAAACTGAAACAACACAGCTTCAAGTATCCCCTCTTCAGCATATTTCTGCATGGTGTAAAGCCAACAAGCTGTCCCCCAATGTCAGCAATATGAAGGAGCTGGTCATTGACTTCAAGAAGCAGAGTGGGGGATACGTCCCTGTCAGTATCAATGGTGGGAATGTTTGAGAGCTTCGGTTCCTAGCCGGGAATGTCACCAACAATCTGTCTTGTCCATCACATTGATGCTACAAATCATGAGGGGTATACATGAGGGGAATAGCAAAGGTGTTTTCCCTAGTGTGAAAATTAGGGGACATATTTGTAAGGTGAGAGGAGAAAGATTTAAAAAGGGTTTGAGGGGCAACTTTTTCTGCACAGAGGGCGGTTTGTGTATGGAATGAACTGCCAGAGGAAATGGTAGTTGCAGGCACAGTATCAACATTTAAAAGACACTTGGATAGGTACGTGAAGATGAAAGGTTTAGAGGGATATGGGCCATACACAGGTTAGTGGGTCTCATTTAGTTTGGGAAACTTGATTGGCTTGCACGAGTTGTACCAAGGGGTCTGTTTCTGTGCTGTAAGACACTGTGACTCTTTCAGAAGGCATATCAATACCTTTGCTCCCTCTGAAGGCTAAGGAAATTTGGCATGTCTGCAATGACTCTTACCAGTTTTTATAGATCCACCATTGAAAGCATTCTATCCAGATGCATCACAGCTTTGTGTGGCAACTGTTCTGTCCAAGCTCACAGGAAATTACAGAGTTGTGAATGTAGCCCAGTCCATCACGCAAACCAGCCTTTCATCCACTGACTCCATCTGTACTTCCCGCTGCCTCAGGAAAGTATCCAACATAATCAAAGATTCCATCCCATCCTGGTTATACTCTCTTACACCCTCTTCCATTGGGCAGATGATACAAAAGTTTGAGAACACGTACCAACAGATTCACGGAGAGTTTCCTCCCTGCCGTTATCAGGCTTTTGAACAACCTTTCATATATTAAAGTTGATCTTTATTAGCACCTTCTCTGCAGCTGTAACACTATATTTTGCATTCTGTTCTATTACCCTGATGTACGTACGATTTGCCTAGATAGCATGCAAAACAATACTTTTCATTGTATCTCAATACATGTGACAGTAATAAATAAAAACAATTCATTTGCCAAAAGCAAGGGGAAAGGAGAAAATAGGGAACAAAAGAATGAATTTGAAATCTTTACATACTGAGGTATCAATTTTATTTCCTTCTTGTAAGTTATTTAACTTTTCCATCCCACACCACTCAATTGCTGTTGAGGTTGGTTGGCTCGCCGAGCTGTTTTGTTGTTCCGCAGACGTTTCGTTACCGTGCTGGGTAACCCCCTCAGTGGAGCCTCTGATGAAGCGTCGGTGCGTTTTCCCGCCTGGTTTTTAAACTCTGGGGTCCGTTGCGATAGATTGCCTCACTTCCAGGTTTCCTCCGTAGTAGAATGTATATGGGGTCGAGTTCATTATGTTTATTAATAGCCTGCTTCGTGGAGTGCCATGCTTCCAGGAATTCTCGTGCTTGTCTCTGCCTAGCCTGTCCCAGGATCTTGGTGTTGTCCCAGTCGAAGTCGTGGTTCTCCTTGTCCATGTGGATTGAGATGAGTGAGTATTGGTCGTGTCTTTTTGTAGCCAGTTGGTGTTCATGTACTCTTGTTGTTAGTTTCCTTCCTGTTTGTCCGATGTAGTGTTTCTCGCAGTCTCTGCAGGAGATCTTGTAGATGACATTGGTCCTGTCTATGGTGGGGAGTGGGTCTTTAGTTCGGGTGAGCACTTGTCATAGGGTTGATGTGGGTTTGTGTGCCACTCTGATGCCCAGCGGTCGTAGAAGTCTTGTGGTGAGTTCTGACGTGTTCCTGATGTAGGGTAGTGCAATGAGTGTGTCGGGGCGTGTAGAATCTTTCTGATGATGTTCCTGTAGGCATCTCCTGACCCAGTTCTTTGGATATCCGTTATCCTTGGAAGAGATATTCCTCCACCTCTTGGCATAGTTCCATGTTGTTGCAGTGTGTTGTTGCCCTTTTAAATAGCGTTCGCACGCAGCTTCGTTGGTGTGTGCTGGGATGGTTACTATTGAAGTTCAATACCTGGTCTGTGTGTGTGGCTTTACGGTGTACTTTCGTTTGCAGTTCCCCATTTGTCTTGCGCTCTACCATGATGTCCAGGAATGGGAGTTGTTTGTTCTTCTCCTCCTCTCTGGTGAATTTTATTCCGGTGAGGGTGTTGTTTATGAGTTTGTGTGTCTCTTCCAATTTGGTCCATTTAATGACGACAAAGGTGTCGTCTACTTAGCGTATCCATAGTTTAGGTTGGATTTGTGGAAGGGCAGTCCTTTCCAGTCTTTGTATCACTGCTTCTGCTATGAGTCCAGAGGGGGATTGCCTTTGATTTGCTCGTATGTTTGGCCGTTGAAGGTGAAGTGGGTGGTCAGGCATAGATCCAGTAGTTTAAGCATGTTGTCCTTGGAGATGGTTTTACTGGGGTTGTGTTCTTGTTCAAGTAGTGTTGTCATTGTTTCCCTTGCAAGTGGTATGTCTATTGACGTGAATAGGGCGGTGACATCAAACGATAACGTGGTCTCTTCGTTCTCTTTCTTTATGTCTTTGATGGAGTTGAGGAATTTTTGGGCTGACTGATTGTCTTTGGGGTGATTTGTTGACTAGGTGCTTGAGTGTTCTTTGTAGTTCTCTGGCTAATTTGTGGGATGGAGTGCCTGGTAGGGAGACTATGGGTCTGAGGGGGACTTCCGGCTTGTGCACTTTAGGGAGGCCGCAGAATCGGGATGTGTTGTTTCCTTCGGGTTTCATTCTTAAGAAGTCTGCTTTGTTGATCTGTCCTGTTTGTTTAAGTCTTTGTAGCGTGTATAGGATTTTGTTGCCTAGTTGTGGTGTCGGGTCAGTTTGTACTGGCCGGTATGTGTTCTCGTCGGCGAGCAGTGCTTGTGCTTTGGAGATGTAGTCCTTTTTATTCTTTATCACTGTCATGCATCCTTTGTCCGCAGGTAGTATAGTGGTGTTCTTGTCCTTCTTTAATCTGTCCAGGGCTTGTCTTTCCCGTGTGTTGAGGGTGTTCAGTTCCCTCTTTCTGGTAAGTGTCAGGACTACTGTCTGTCTGATAGTTTGTTGTGTTTCTTCGTTGATACTGTTGGTCTTGAGTGTGGCTTCCAGTGTAGCTAGCCATTCCGTTTTGTTGGTGTCCCTGTAGTTGTAGTTCAATCCCCGGGTGAGAACGGCTTTTTCTGCGTCTGTCAGTTCCCTGTCGGAGAGGTTCCTTATCCATGTGTCAGTTCTGTTGTTGTTGCTTTTGTGGGTAAGTATGGTTAGTTTGTCTTGCAGGGTCTGTCTTTTCTTGGCTCTTGTGCTCTGTCAGCTGATGTTAGTGGCTCATTCCATGTCGGTTGTCCAGTCTTGATTGGTAGCTTCCTGGAATAACGTTTTTTGGTGCGTAATTTCTCTGTTGTATTTGTGGAGCCGGTTGTGTGTGTCGTTTATCATTACCCTTACCATCTTGCGGCCGTTTTGTTCTGCTGTTTTCCGGGCCTGTGGGTTGTTGATGGGTGGTTTGTACTTCACACTGCGTGGTAATACCTGGTTCCTGAGGCATCCATGTAGGAAGTAGAGTTGTTCGCGGGTTGCGCTCTCTCTTTTGGCGTAGTTTTCCCATTTCCTTGCCAGTTTGAGCGTGTTGCGCCCGTAGGTCTCTAAGGTTTTGGAGTAGATCGCAACGGACCCCAGAGTTTAAAAACCAGGCAGGAAAACACACCGACGCTTCATCAGAGGCTGCACTGAGGATGTTACCCAGCACGGTAACGAAACGTCTGTGCAACAACAAAACAGCTCAGCGAGCCAACCAACCTCAACACCCACAACCCGAGCTACAGATCTACTCCAAAACTCAATTGCTGGCTAAAAACTGAAGGCATAATTTCTGTTCTCTCTTACACAAGACAAAATTTTAAAAATTAGACATATTATAAGAAAAGTATTCTCAAATTCCTGTCTGGTTCAACCCATATTAGATCATAGAATCCCTACAGGGAAACAGTCACTTTGGCCCAACAAGTCCACACTGACCGTTATAGCATCCCACCCTGACCTATCCCCCTATAACTCACCTAATCTACACATCCCTGAACACAATGGGCAATGTAGCTTGGCCAATCCACCTAGCTTGCACATCTTTGGACTGTGGAAGGAAACTGGAGCACCCAGTGGAAATGCATGCAGACACAGGGAGAATGTGCAAACTCCACACAGACAGTCACCCAAGGGCGGAATCGAACCTGAGTTCTTGGCACTATGAGGCAGCAGTGCTAATCACTGAGCCAATGTGCCACCCCATTGTTTAAACCTAAACTTAACATGCACTCATTCATCTTGTAATATTAATTTTGAAATCAATTTCAGATACTGGTGGCATAGATGGAAACAATCTGAACTCGTTTATCTGTATTTCTCCAAATACTATTATTTATGCAGACATAGGCTGTGCAAATTTAGTGCACTGATTAATTCTTTAATGGATTATGTAACAAGATTACAGGGATATTAGGCAGGTTACAATGCAGAAATACAAAAAAAACTGACTTACACTTGTTTCTCCAGTGGGGTGTTAGGATTTACTGTCTCTCCTACAATCCCACAAAACTCCAGAGCTCCATCTTTGTTTCGACCTGAGGGTCTTAGTTGCCTGCGTCTATCACAAAAGAAAGAGGATTGTCTTCTCTGAAATCCACTGACCTGGGCTACAAGGAGACAATAACAACCAAATTTTAACAAGTTTACATCTTTAACTTAAATCATTCCCATCAAATAAAACCAGTCAGAAGCTGGAAAATGTTAATAGGCCTAATCTGGTGTTATCTTTTTAGACAAAGTGCTAGTTGTCCATGCATGTTGTTGTCTGGAACAAGGGACAATAACATCAGAGGCTCTAACATTCCATTCGTCACACAGCTGACCAAGAATCTCTCTAATTCTTACCTCGTGCCATTTGAAGGATTTGTAAGTTAGTACTCAGTCCGTTTGATCAACAAATGAACAAACTTTCATTGGTCATCAAGTCCTGAAGTGGGACTTCAACATGGAGCTTTTGGCTCAGAGGCAGGGACTCTACCCACTGCATCACAAGAGCTCTCTCTTATTTCAGAATTTTTGAAATACCTATGGAACAAGAATGTTTAATGATTACAGGAGTGGCAATGCTAACTTAAAACATCATTAGAAGAATTTGAAAGAAATGCTAAATCAAACGTCAAAACAATAAATAGTAATAAATATGAAGGAAGACTGTTTAATAAATCCAAAATGTATGGCTTTAATTATGGAAACTTACAATGCACAGATTTTGTTTAGCCATATCTTCGTAAATAAAGATCTTGGGGCAAAATGGATAGCCCCTGAAAACATGCACTGGAATCATGATACGATATTAACCCATGCTACTTTTTCACTGAAGCAGGCAGCTTGTAAACTTGATGCTGCCTGCTTGTTTTAATGATGACAGCATGCAGTCCAGTGCAAAAGGCTGCACATCTCAACAGGGAACAAATGCTCATTCAAACTGGGCATAGCTTAAAGTTAGCTTGTATCGCTATAAGCAGACCATTGCACAAAGTTCAAAGATGAAGTATCCGAGGCCTTAAAGCAGATGGTGGAGAGGGTGAAGACCCTAAACAAACTTGAAGGCAGAATGGAAGCAGACAGTCACCATAGCAAATACAAGGTACAGTCACATAGATCTGGATACAAGTTTACAAAATGTTCAATGATCACATATGAGCAGTCAAGGTCAGTGCATTCATATCCAAATGCCATAGCTTTGAACTATTCATCTGTTATCTCAAACATTGCTTTGTTTCACTCACTGCTTATACTCACATAATGTCGGTACATATGAAAATAATAAATCAAATCAAGATATTTTTATTAACTCATATGATGAAGAGCAATGCCATCATTTATTTTAATCCCCACTGCCCCTGAGAAGGTGGTGGTGAGCTGCCTTCTTGAACTGCTACAATTCATATGGTGAAGGTACACAGTGCTGTTAAGGAGGCAATTGCATGACTTTCAAAGGCAATACATTTCCAGGTCAGGTGGTAACCTGCAGGGGAGCTGGCAAGTACTGTTCTTCACTTATTCTTTAAAGTAGGAGAGGTGTGATTGTTGTGATTTTTAATGATTTGTAAATCTGTACTCCTGGAGCTCTTCGCTCCACCTCCCATTCAGCTTCCTAATTCCAATGAGTGTGTGGCCTCCTGATTCCTCCTTCTAAATCCTCCATCTCATTTTATCTTCAGATTCATAGAATTTTGCATTATAAAAGGAGGCCATTCGACCCATTGTGTCTGTACTTGTTCCCAAAAGAGATACCCAGAGATTCACCAGCCCTATGAGAACCCTGTAAATTCATCACTTCCAAATATACATCCAGCTCTCTTTTAAAACCTCCCACGGAATCTGCCTTCACCACTTTCCCATCCAACACATTCCAAATCCTAACAACTCTCTCCAACTCATTCCTATCTCCCTCGCAATCTTGAAATTGTGGACCTTAGTGGACATACCTACTCATTGAAACTGAATGTTCTCCTTTATCCTGTCAAAATTGTTCATAATTTTGAACACCTCAATAAGGTCACCTCTTAATCTTCTCTGCTCCAAGGAGAATTACCCCAATTTCTGTCATCTTGTGTTTAAAATCCCTTATTCCTGGCATCATTCTAGTAAACCTAGTAAATCTCTATGGCTTTATTTGTTCAGGTGCAGCTTCACTTCTTTGCTTTTATACTCCATGCCTCTATTTATAAACCCAAGGATTTTATAAGCATTCTTAACAACCATTTCAAGTTGCCTGGCCACCTTCGGAGAATTTTGCCTGTGAATCCCGAGGTCGTTCTGCTCCTGTAGTCCCCTCAAATATGTACTATTGAGCCTGTATTGCATCTCTGTGTTTCTTTTACCAAAATGCATTATCTCACATTTCTCTGCATTGAATATCGTTGGCCAAATGTCTACCCATTTGGTCAACTTGTCAATGTCCATCTGAAGTTGCTCAGTATCATCCTCACAATTCACTATTCTCTCTATCTTAGAATCATCTGCAAATTTAGAGATATTGCCTTCAACTTCCATCTCCAAATCGTTTAAATCAGAAAATGCAAGGGGTCCCACTATCGATCCCTGGTGAACGCTACTTTCAAGTCATCTCCAATTTGAGAAATGCCTATCTATACCTACCCTCTGTTTCCTATCTTTTAGCCAGCTTCTAATCTGTGCTGCCAATCCCAACATTTTTAATTTGCTAACCAGCCTGCCACGTAGCACTGTATTAAATGCTTTATAAAAGTCCAAATGTATGACATCCATTGCACTACCCTTACCCACTGCCTATGTCACCATGTCAAAGAACTCAACCAAATTTGCCAAACATTATCTACGTTTGACAAAGCCATTTTGACTGTCTGGTTTTAACTTATTTTTATCTAAGTGTATCCTTATCCTGTGTTATGGCCTCCATCAGTTTTCCCATTAGTGATGTCAGGCTGACAGGTTTGTCGTTTCCTGGGTTACCCCTCTCTTAAACAACAATGTCACATTTGCAAACCTCTGGCCCCCGCAAGGAGTAATCCTGGGTTCAGATAGGCCGGAAGAATTTCTGTCAGGGTGTCCACAACTTTCTTCCTCACCTCTCTCAGCAATCAAGGATACATCCCTTTGGCCCTGACGACTTCTCTACTAGGAGTGCTGCCAGCCTTTTTAGCAGCTCTTCTTTATCACTATACCGTTCAGTTGCTCAAAACCACGCTGTCATCTAGGCCATTGTCACCATGCTCTAATTTGGTGAAGACAGAAACAAAGTATTCATTTATACACCTGTCTTTGCTTCAGTGATTCATGCTTGTTCCTTCTGGGTCCAATTCTATCCTTCACTAATATTTTAATGTACGATTGAAGAACATTTTACTATTGGTTTTACTGCAGCCTGCCGTTGTTTCCTCATATTTCCTCTTTGCCTTCCTTATTTCAGCCTCAGCCTTCCTCCTGCATTTGAGATACTCTTCCCAATTGCTGTTATTCTTCCGGTATACATCACATGC